CTAGGGATGAACCTTTATCAAACATGCTTCATTTAATTTATCAATCTGACATTTTACTATTAATTACACAAAACAATGATTCCCAAAAGATCAAATCCGTATGGTGACATGTTTAAATATATTATATATATATGATGACACCTTTAAATATATTTTTAAAATAAAGATAAAAGAAAAGCCATTTAACATGCACGTACATTTGATTTTGTCTTTTTCTAATATAAAAATTTGTCACCAGCCGAATTAAAAAAATAAAAATAGAACTCGTCGGTACTGTCAAAGTAAGCAGTAAGGTTTACTAGAGAATTAATTAATTGTTTGTTGTTATTACATGCATTTAAATCATTCTTTGCAAGGACCATTAATATGACAATGATTTTTCTATTCAACTCATTTTGGCTTTACTCTGGAAGGCTTTTCTGCCTCACTTAATAAATTATTTATATTCCTTGATTAGCTCTTCTTGATTTTATGAATTGGACTACTTCCTTTGATCTAATATTTCTAGATGGAAGTGTCACACAATTGTGATTCTCTGTCTCACAATTTTTTTACATTGTCAAAAGGGTCAAAATCATCTCTTCAATGTTTTGCATCAAGACCTAAAAGTTCCTTCTTAGAGAAAACCAAGAAGGTTTACTTGGTATAAAGAAAATGATTCTCAAATCTACTTTAAAAAAAATACAGTAATCGATATTAAGTATCTTTATTAATGATGTGAAAAATTTGATGAATTTTCGTTCCCAAATAATAGTTTGACTGGTATAACATTTGTCTCATTAAAAAAGAGAAGATATTAGGTGAGCTGGACATATCACATTATTGATATATCCACCCAATCAACGTGTTCTATATCAAAAGTGGTCCTTAAATAAAGAAGTTGTTTTCACCAAATTAAAATGTTAAATGTTGATTAATTTGACATATCAATGACATAGTATATCTGATACACCCAATACTTTACTTCTTAAAAGGAAAGTTGGAGTTCAAGTCCTGTAATGACAATTTTAGATATGTGTGAGAATTTTAGTGATAGAAAATAATAATAATAATAATGAAACTTTGGTTTGAAATGATATGAAACTAATTAAGAAACCAACTTCAGGAATGAGCTTGAAGCCCTAAACATATGTGATCAATAAGCACTTCTTAAGAACATGAGAAGTAACTTCACTATTTTGCTTCTTATAATTAACAACGTATAATGGGAACTTGTATCAAAATAATTAAGAAGAAATATCAAAATAATTAAGAAGAGATTACAAAGAGATATAGACAAAAAGTAAACTCTGTACAGCTTGTGATATCCTAAATTGGTGCTCTAGGGAAGATAGGAAGAAAGAATCAAATTTCTTTCATTTGGTAGAGAGGAGGTTAGAAGAGAGGATAAAAAGGGATGGATGAATCATCCTTCCTCCTTCACAATTTTTATCTCTCCAAATATAGACGGAAGGCGTGAAGAAAAAAAGGGCAAGGCTATTATAAAAGTTTTTGAATTGCAAAACATTTCCTTTAATTCACTCTCTCTTCCCTTCTCTTCTAACAAACAAAATAAGGAATTATCTCATATTTTATCTTTCATCCAATCAAATAAAAATAGAGAAAGACACAATCTCTTCTCTATTGATGTGTCATTCATCTCTTATTTTCTCCCTTCTATTTAATTTTTTTACTTCCTATCAATCGAAGCATTAGTAAAGATTCAAGGTCAAGTATCTTACTCTACGAATAAAAATAAAAATAAAATATTTCTTAAATGTATGTAAAAGGATGATACTTAATGTCGGTTTCACATATGCAAGTCAATGTTTGCATTAACAATATTTTAGTATGAATATAGCACCAGTATTCGTAATTAGTTTTTGAATCAGTGTCCTGAAATTAGAAAATTCGGTAATGTTTCTTCCAACACAAAAGATAATAAATAAATAATCTTGCAACATGCATCAATCACGCTAACATCTCATTCAATAATAGTAGCATTTAGTGATCTTCTAATGATGTAGGAGCATGCTTTCCCAACTTTCATCATTGAATCAAATGGGAATCCACACTTCAATTAATGTTCCCCACAATGAAGGAATTATTAGATGATTTTGGCCTATTTGACATTTGGTGGACTGATTCAATAAAAATTTTATAATCATAAAACTTTGTAATTCATTAATATACTCTTGTGAGACCATTTTCTCAATTCGAGAATTCATATTTAATTGATTCACCAAGTGTTAATGGTCTAATTAGGCATTAAATACAAGGACAATCTAAAAAATGATTTTCTTTTAGAAAGAGACCAAATTTCTTTTAGAAAGAGACCAAATAATAATAATTATTATTATTATTATTAGTCCTTATGATAGCTTCTGGGGCCAACCTGATAAGTATTAAAATCAATTGGTAAAAGTATACACTATATATCCATATTAAAATATAGATATACGTACATAAAAAAAATTAGAAAATATTACACTGATATGTATATATAAGTGGGCAATAGTAGGTTGTGGACTTGAGTTTGGGTTCACCCACACTTGTGAATCCACACTTACTCTCTTATGTAGTCTGTAATTATTTCCATCTTTAGCGAAGTTCATATAATAATTTATTCAAATTTATAATTGTTCATACCATATTTTTCACACATCTTATCAATGATTATTAAATTGATCAAATGGCATTGCAATTTTTTGCAAAACCTTTTTAAACAATCAATCATATGAGCTACTCTTAGGCATGAAAATAAATTTTTGATACACAAATAATTTGTTGAACTACGTTTTTTTCTTTTTCTTTTTTTCTTGAAATGGAAAACTTTCAACTCCGAGAACTTATGATAACAAGTTCATTGTTGAACTATTTACACTTTCACATTTTCTTTTTTCAAAATATATATTTTTTTTCAATTTAATAACAAGAATTAGTCTCACTCAAAAGTTAGAATGCCTTATTGGTTGTAAAAATTAGACTTGACGAACTATTTAATATTAAATTTATATTATTATTAAATTTTTTATATATAATAAAAAATTCTTGTGATGTCGTTCTCTTAATCGAAGAATCTGAATTGACTTGATCAGCACAGCGAGAAAGAGATGTTATGAGCTTCGTAGGTCCAATATGTTTTATACATTCAACAAGCACAAGTTTCCGTTAGGTCACACCCTATCGGCTCATCTCGATCAAACTCAACTAACCAGTAGCCACTTTGGCTGTCCAAGATATTTAACTGAAGTGACAAAAATACCCTTTGATTTGTATCTATGTATTGTAACATCCAGGTAGATGTAGTTACCACTAAAGAAGTTAGGTATGGCCGTGCCCGTCTGTTACCTGCCAGAAGGAGCATTGAAAAGCTGCTGCTACTAGTACTTCATCCACAAACTCCATCTCATCTTCCCAATCTAGCCTTTTTAAAATAACAATAATAATCATAATAATACTACGTCCCACTATATTTTATTAATAGTATTCGATTGGGTCACTCTCATTTTTGTGAATATTTAGAGAATAGTGACACGTATTTAGCACAAGTACGGCACTTTCATAGAAATATCCATACTTGCATTTAAAATCAAATTCTTGCTACGTGACTTAATTACTTGTTTTAAATTTTTTACTTTTATTTTTATTATTATTTCACAAGATCACCCATAAACCGTTGTTTTCAAGATCGTTGGGGCTAAATAAGATTAGGCTCTTATTAATGTTAGTTCATAAGCAAGACTTGAAAAAAACTTGAGCTCGGATTATCAAACTGTTTCCAAATTGTTTTCTAAACAAAAAAAGCTTAAATAATGGTGGACTTCAACCTCTTTCTTCCTCTCTCTTTTTTTATTTTGTTTTATTTTGTCTGTTACTTTATTGATAAAAATTAATAAAATATTTAAAAGAAATTTCAAGTACATGTTGTTTCAGTTAGAAAAAACACATAAAATAAAATAAAATAAAAGAAAGTGTTTTGCTTTTGAAATGATAGTTTTTGTTTACTTTTTTTTTTCAAAATTTATGTTGAGAGGACTTTAGAAACAATATTACGAGTCTTAGGGGGTGTACATAAAAACTTTCGAAAAAATAAATAAAGTGCATACTTGCTTATACAACTGTCCACATATAGCCTTAAGCCACGCCCATTTTTCCTCTTAGCTTTGTCATTATATTATACACGTAGGAAGACATGATATGATATGTACACCTGAATTGTCCATTCACTTTAATTATAATCTACTGCCCATGTTCATCGCATACATGCCACCTATTTAACCAAGAAATAAATAAATAAGGAAGCTGGGCCAGAAGGCTTTTATCATTGCAGGTTAGATGTCGCCGCTTTGTGTGTTGGTGATATTAATAGATTATTATATTGGGGGGCGAATTGTAGTTGTATAATTTTTATTGTCGGAGTGTGCATGTATAAGTATTATATATAAATTTAACACCAATATATTTTAAAATTGTAATGGCCGTGATCGTATCAAAATTTTAAAATATAGCGTGACTTGGAGTAATATCAGGATGGATGACTCCTGAAAAGTCTCTAGTTTCGGGGAGCCAAAAATAAATAATATGGTGTTTGACTATAATAAGGGTTGTTACAATACTATATATGTATAAACCTACCACTTAAAAAAAAAAAAAGATTAATTCAGCGTACAAGATTCTTGATATTTTCGAATTCGTCTAATAATTAAATACTTATATTTCATTGAATATGGTACCTTTATAGTGCCAATCGGGAATTCAAACTTAGGAGAAAAGTTTTTGTTTTGGTGTGTCGTTACACCTTACAACGGATGCATTCGGACCGTTCATGTTGTAACGAATGCAATCAAAAAAAATTTCAAAACTAAGAAGATAAGATGAGAACACTTATGACCTGAAAATCACACCCACACCTAATATCTTATCCTCGTATACGATTATGAAAAGGTATCACACGGACACGGAGTATACGCACAAGGGTGTCCCTACTCTTGAGAAAAAGTCTTTAAAACACCATCTAACCCTCTACTTTCTCTACTTCCTTATCTACTCCTCCCTACTACGTTTCTTTCGCTCACCATCTCTCTCTCTCTCTCCAGAATCCAGAACATAAAAAATCCATCAAAATATTGTAGCATTCCTTCTTCACTCATTTTGACCCAAACTCCCTATAATAACCCTCCAACCTCTTCTTTCTCTTCACCCCATCTTTTACACTCTTCTCTCTCTCTAAAACCCATTTGTGTTTCTCTCTCTAAAATGGAAGAAACATCCTCAAAACGCCAGAGGGATGAAACCCATGTTGCTGAGGATTATTGTTATGAAGACACGAAGCGCCACAAATCATCATACAACCAAATACTCTCTCTCCTTGAAGATGAAGAAGAAGAATATTATTATGAGCCCAACCAAGACTTGTCCTCCATTCTCACCACCCTCCAACAGGAACTGTCCTCTGACTCAACCAACCCAGACCCTTTATTTTTCTCTGATTTTCAGACTGACGTCCCAGATAATCATCATCATACGGTGGGTACGACAGCATCTGATTGCGGCCCTGCTACTTCTCATGGTGTGCTGTTGCATGAAGGAGAGGAGGGAGAGAGAGTGATGAGACGCCTTCTTGAAGCGTCGGATGATGAGCTAGGGATACCCCCGCGAGATGGCGGTGGGGACGATGAGATCAACGGTGGAGATTGCGCCACGTTCTCTTTGTGTAATGGGTTGTGGGATATTGAAGATGAGGCTGCTAATTACTATTCGTTGTTGCAGTCTGAACTTTTCATGTAGTTTTTGGGGTTAGGAAGTAAAAATATGAAATATTAGGGGGTTAGGGAGAAAAAGATTGAGAGTGGAAAAAAGTGAAATGAAATCATTTTTAGATTTTCATTTTGGTCCACCTCTTTGTTTTATTTTTTTTTCCTTTTTTATTTTTATTTTTTATATTTTTCTGTAAAATATCAGAAGTGTCCCCTGTTATATCTCTAAAATGTAGAAGATAATGTGTGATTTCCAAATATTGTGAAGATTAATTTGTTCCCGCCTAAACCTAGAATTGTTATTGTAAGGGATAAGTTCGTTTTGATCCGAAATTACCGTTTTTCAATTGAAAATGGCGCACGGCTGAATCAAATCTCATCATTTAGGGTTCTGAAATTGTTATTTTTTTATTTTTGAATATTTCAGAATTTTTATGAGAAGTATAAATGGATCAGAATTACTCTAATTTTTTGTATTTAATAATTTTTAATGATTAGGTTTTTTGTTCTATTTTTAATAATTTTTCGACAAAAAAATATTTTGAACTTATTTATAATCTTCGTTGTATTACAGCGAGCAAAAGTATTCAATAATCAATATTATATCAGAGTTCTCTTTTTCTATACTTTGAATTGAAAGTTATTCTTTGTTAATTATTGAATGTTCATGACTTCCGTTTGCGTCACAATATCAAATGAGAAACTAGCTTTTGGTAGGATGGTAAAAATCGAAATTATCATTTTTTTTTTATTATAAGGAATTCATATCGTCCGTTAATAAGGGGCATGTTTCATGTTAGATGAAAAAGAGACCAAATTTAAGGTGGTGTGGGTAGAATTAGAGAGGAAAACTATTGTTACATTGTCCTTAAATATAGTAAAATGAAAAATAAAAAAATAAAAAAATACGTTGCATTTGATATAGAAATTTTACACATACAATAAGAAAATTTTCAAAATATTTCAGACAAATGAACTCAACCCATACATGTGATTGATAGATAATAAGTGAGGTCGTGCAAATGTGGGATGGAGGACTATGTCGGCTTGGGTTATGACAAATTTTAGAAGATTAATTCAATTCAGACTTGTTGTTCGAGTACAGTACCTCAACGTATTATTATTAAAATATATATTTTTTTATATTTTAGTTTTGTTTTAATAGTGAGATCGTGCAAATGTGATATAGATGGAGGACTGTCGGCTTGGTTTATGACAAATTTTGAAAGATTAATTCAATTTAGACTTGGTTGTCACTAGCACACCATGTCAACTTTTTATTATTATTATTTTTTATGTTCACGAACATATACAATACTAATAATATTCGAATTGAGCTTGTACTAGCTTGGAGACAAAGACAGCATGCACTTGGTCAGGAAAGAAATGTCCTCACGTGAGTTACAGTTTTTAAAGTGAACAATTATTTTGAGACAGAGATTGTAAAATAAAATTTAAAGAAGAATAAGAGTAAGAATGAAAAGAAATAAGAAATTAAAGAGATTTATAAGGAAATAATAATAATTTGACTATTTGAGGAGGTGCATGTTTTAGTTTTTTATAAATCAAACGCATAATATATAATAAAACTATTTCTTCAATCAAACTCTATTCTTTTCCTTCAAAATTGTCTCCCTTTTTTTATTTTTTCTTTTTTTCCACAATTGTTTATTGGTTGGTGCCTTTGTTGCCAAAGCCGAAAAAAAATTAAACCAGTCACAAAATTATGTTTGGTAACCTCAGCTAAGTTTTGTACATTATCTATTTTAGAAATTCAAAAAAAAAAAAACCCTAATTAAAAATAAAAATAAAAATATCATTTCACTTGTATACACCTTCCAATATTGAATTTATAAAAAGTAAACTAACAACTCATTATACTTAGGCTATGTTTGATGTGAGGAATGGAATCAAATAAAGGTGGAATAGAATGCATTTGTTTCCATTCTCTTGTTTCACATTAAAAGTGGAATGGTCTTTCCTAGGGAATGCCCATTCCATAAAAAAGGTAGAATGACTATTTTATTCCCACTAAGAATTAATAAAGTAATAAAATAATTTAAAGAGATAATTTACGCATACAAACACTATATAAAATATAATAATATATATATATATATATATATATATATAATATGTATCTATATGCTGTTTGTTCCCCCTCTCTCTATCTCGTTTATTTTTCTCTCTATTATCTCTTTCCCTTTTATTTTTGCAAATTAATTTTTTTAGTTAATTTTTTTTACTAATAATAAAATGTAATTTAAAAAAATAATATAAATTCATTCATTCTAACTTTCTTACCAAACATTAGAATGAGAATGAGATTCTATTTTTACACATTATATGTTTACAACCAAACGGTGAAATGAGAACCACCTCCATTCTCATTCCATTCCCACCTCCATTCTCGTTCCATTCCATTCCAATTCATTCCACCCAACCATACCCTTAATTTGAGTTGAAAAGGGGTATAGAATTATGGCGCGTGTCTGACACGAACTATGACATTCCGTGCCTTTTAGATGCTTGGTACATTCCGTATAGAAGTCTACAAGCAACAGCAACCGTAGGAAGATCCGAAAGGGGGGTGATCGTGTACGACACGACCTATTGGGGGTTGGCAAATGAGCTGGGAAGACAAAATGAAGGCAAAGGGACCCACCAAGCAGGGGGACACGAGGACGTCGTGATGGTGAGATGCTGACGCAGCAATGACTTGTACGCGATGTCCACACATGTTTTGTACTACGCATATAATATATATATATATATATATATATATATAATGTATGATGGTACAGGCAACTAGCGCATATGAGCGAGACAGGTGTCAATAACAACCAGCCAAGCAAGTAATGGTGGCACCATTACTATGACATGTCAATGGGCAGCCTCTCTGTTGTTTGTCCTAAGGATTAGATCTCAACCCAAATAATTGAGATACCCACCATTGCCATGACAATGACCCCCTCTCTAAGATTTTTCCTTTTTCCTCTTTTTTTTTTTTTCTTTTTCTTTTTCAATAATTCATATTTGACTTTACAAACCGGCTACTAATCCTTTTGATTACATGAAAGTAATTAAAATAAGAGATTATTAAATATAAATGTTATTAATGATTCATATTTATTATTTGATTGTGTCAAAGTGTCATAATTTTAAAAAAAATAAAAACATGGAAAAACATTATTTAGAGGTACCACATTTAGGTATCACTTTTTATGCATGTAGGTACCATTTTTATCATCATGTACTACTTTTTGTACTGCACAAAAAGTGGTATATACGTGCACAAAAAGTGATACATGTGTACTTAAAAGTGGTACCTTTATGAGAATGAATAGTATTTTTTCATGTCCATGTCAGCATTTTGGTCAACTCTATTTTTTCAAAACTATAAAACTTTGACTTGATTAAATGGTAAATATGAGCCATTAGCACCATTTATATGTAATAATTCCTAAAAATAAATAAAATACAATTGTTTTTTCTTTTAAGTAATTTAAGTTTGGATAACATAAAAAGAAAATTTTGAAAACAAATAACTTTCGTAAAATTTTAAATAAATTACACTAACCTTCTCTGAAGTTTAGACAAATTATATATAAGTAGATTATTCAACGTTTATTACTTTAACCTTACCTGTTGAATATTAAGGGCAAAAGTGTCACTACCATTTAGTTATGGACAAAACCACTATAAATTTTAATTAGCAATAGGAATTAATGGACTCAAAACAAAATTGAGCTACCAAGAGGAATAAATGAGACCATCACAAAATTACATTAAAAACTCTTGCATTGATTTTGTTCATAACCAATTAGTAGGTATATTTTTTACCTATTGCTTTTGGAGAGAGGCTTTATCTTCTCCACGAAAGTGAGGAAGTTAGTTGTGATAAATTTGTTCGCTTTCAATTTCTTAATCTATTAACCTCGATTTATTATATATTATTCGGAAAATGAATTTTTTGAAAATTTGGTTACAATATTCATATTCCATTTTTTAAAAAATTTTATTCATAAAGTAACCAAACCCAATATTAACCATTTTTTATAAATCCAAGCTCAACCAGAATTGAAAATTTTGAATGTTGGTTAGACTCGAGTTGGGAAGCATCTCTCTAAAGTTGGATTGGTTAGGTTTTGAGTTGAAAATTCCTTAATTTTCTCAAATCGTCCGAGTTACAACACCACTCACAATCCATGCTTGGTGACCAAACAAAACAAAGAAGCAGCAGTATCGGAATATCATCGCCAGCATTATCTCGAACGAATAATCTGGTTACATGAATTCTCCTTTTTCAATATTTTTCATACATCATTCTCCTATTAAATTTAATTTTTAAAATAAATTTTTATCACTTCATTTCATTTTGTTTTGATAAACCTCTTTTGAACCTACTTTCTATACAAATCAATCTTCCTCTTATTATTGGTACATTTACATATCTACATTGAAAATGCAGGAGCCAAAAGAAAAATGTTCATTTGCGTAGATGGTAAAAAACAAAAACATGTACCTAAACAACAACTAAATATCATATCCATTTTGAAATCTACACCTAAATAACAACCAAGTGACTCTAACTTTGATGTTACCATTTTCTTTCATAGTTGTCCATATCATAAATAATAACCTTTTGTGTTAGAATATTTAAAATAATTACTGGGGTCCAGAGGTCCTCAAATAATCAATGAGTGATTGATTAGTGCATGAACTCTTCTCTCCAAAAGGAAGGCACCAGGCATGTTTTTTATATTCTTTTGGAATGATAAAGTAAAAACACATGTTATTTTTACCGAATAAATATTTAGTGTTGGCGCGTAATATGCACGCACGGTTCATATTAGTCCGATGCAGGACACACTGTATACTTATTCCTTTTTATTCACACCTAGGCTCGAATCCCATCTCTCCTTTTTGAAGATAAGAAAGTTATACTGTTAGATCAAAGACTGCTTAAGTGGTTTTATTTTGAAAAATTACATTTAAATGTAATCATTAAAAACGTTTTTAATAATTAGCAAATTTAGCTTAGTAGAGCATTTGAATAAAATCTAGAATTTGGAGCCTTCAAAACAACTAATATGTCACCAAACTACTAACATGCTTTTTAATAACCCTAACAAAACAAACATAAATCCCTAACAAGCAAAATTTACATCTATCGAAACTCGAATCCCTAACAAGCTAAATTTAAACAGTTGTACCATTGCCCATTTGATAGCAGGAGGGATGTTGCTTAGCTATCAGAAACAAAAGAAAAAGACCACAGATAAAAAG